AATTTATTATATTCATGATATGAATCCAAACTCTACCCAGTTGTTGTTTAGTTTTTATCATTGGGTATTCCTCGTTGCATGGATCACAACTAGCTGCGATCATGCTTAATTACTCAAACTGAATTAATTTCAGTTGAAATACTTCTCCTCGCTCGAGAAAGCAGTTGTTAATATGCGCTGATGGGTGTGGCACAATGTCTTTATGCATGCAAAGGCTGAGGCGCGTTCTGTTTCTTTCAATTTTTTCGATGCGAACAAACTGATATTCCAATATCCGAATAGCATAACTAGCATTTGCTTCAAACCAAATTTCTGAGAGTTCGGTTTTATTGAAAATTAACGAAATCAACCGAATTTAATTTGTGTTTGACCACTCTGTCGTAACTTATTTCGCTGTAATTATTTTGGAAGCAAAAAATTATTATCCGAATTGAATTATACGTATCAATAATTCGCTGGAAAATGCTCTAAGCCTCAGTTGTGTCGCAAAGTATTCAAATATAATTACGAAATTTCAGTTTCTGTTATGTATTCAATACTGCACGAAACGGATGACTCAACAACGGTTAACTTCAGCGAATATGGGAAATTTTTACCTGGGAATGGCATGCAGTTGGTCACGATTGGTGCAAAATTCCTACGACTGCACCGATTCAATCCGTATGGTTTGGTACCAGATGTGGAACATCAATGGAATCAGACCACTCGATTGGAATGCTTATTGAGCGTTCGTCTGTTAGCACCTGTTAAATCACTAGCGGTTGCTAGAATACCACGTCAGTTTCTTTCACACTTCAGAATTCGGTCATATTGACAGTTTCTAGTTTTTCTTGAAGTTAAGAGAGAGTACTTCACGACTCCACGAATCCACACGTTTGCCGAATCTTGAAAATACCATTTTTTTCAAGGAATGTACTCATTTTTCGATCTCCATGATTCAATTATATTCCAGAAAATCCAAACTGTGACTGCCTTCTGCTTGGTTTCGATAATGCTAAACTATCGGTGGTTGGCTTCAATACCGCCGAACGTTCACTGAAGACAATTTCATTGCATTGTTTCGAAGAGGAACTCCTAAAAGATGGATATGTCACCGATTTGCCAAGTCCGCTGATTCGTGTTGATCCGAATCAGCGATGCGCGGTGATGCTTATATATGGAAGGTTTGTTTTTCTTCTGTTCTCAGTCTCTGTGTTCTGTATTGTTTTCGAGAAAATTTCGTTATTTCATCCTGTTCCTGTTGATTACGCTTTGAAGTGAAAAAGAAACATTTTACGTTTGATATTTCTTTCGATCTAATCAGTCTGAATCACTGTAGTATCTGTGTGTTTTATTTCGCGTTCGACATGAAGTTGAATTAAGCCACACATTTGCATCGGTATTAAGTCCGCTGAAGTTGTGAATTCGTTTTATTTTGTTCAGATATTTAGCCGTGCTACCGTTTGACGAAGCGTCACCACACTTGCACACCTATACAATACCGTTAACATCAATTGATCCACGTCTTGTAAATATTATTGATATGACATTTTTGGATGGTTATTATGAACCGACGTTGATCTTCTTGTTCGAACCTGCCCAAACGACGGCCGGGAGGTTGGTGTATCGTTATCCACTTGGAGTTATTTTGAGTTGTTCTGTTGTGGACAAGTTCATTGGCTTATAAATGCTTGGAGTGTGTGACAATGATGGGAATTGATGATCAATAATTTAGAGCATGTGTTCGGTACGATACGGTTTGTATGTTGGGTGTGTCGTTGAATGTCAAAGAACAAGTGCACGCTTCAGTATGGCAATTGAACAATTTACCGATGGATTGTACTCAAGTAATTGAATTTTGATCGATTTCTAAATTTGATTTCAATTTCTTCATTGATTCAGCGTTGTATTTGTTGAGAATTACTACTTGTTAGTGCGTTTCATGCGATCATCTGATATAATACAATGGAACGGAATTTCGTTGAATTATTCTGTTGCATCATTTATGTGGATTGAAAAGCTTAGAGATTCTCTAATAGAGAATTATTTATGAGATAGTGCGATCGAAATTTCATATTCAGGTGTTGATGATACCGCGTCCGGTTGGCGGTGCATTATTCATTGGTCCAAACGAAGTGATTTATTTGAATCAGTCAGTGCCACCTTGCGGTATGCTCCTGAATCTTTATCACATCGCATCTGTTTATTCAGCTGAATTTCTGAGTTATTCATCGAGAACTTTTCGAAATGTAATGGTGATGAAATTCATTTCATAACGTTGAGTTAGTCAATGATTGCAGCTTGTAAAGGATTTATTTCAGGTATTATGTTGAACAGTTGTATGGAAGCATTCACAAAATTTCCGTTAAAAGACGCAAAAGAGATGTGTTTAACACTTGACAGTTGTGCTGCGTGTGTGATTTCATCAAATAAGGTATTTGAACATAACTTCTCGTTATTGACTGTCCAGAAGTCTTGGTGATAAGTTCAAGAATTCATTTCATTTAGTTGTGTTGATATGATATATTGGGTGATGCACTTATGAAAGTAAAGTGTTCATGTGAGAAAATTTCAGATAGCAGTTTGCTTAAGAAATGGCGCATTGTATATGCTGACGCTTGTGATTGACAGCACGAATTCGGTGAAGTCATTAGAGTTGAATCATGAATTTGGTAAGTTATTGATCGTGAGTAGTGCTTGTTGAGAATGAGAGCTTTCTGCACTTTGCTTGAATTTATTGCTTGAAGCAGATAGAGTGGTATGGTAGCTGATATTGGTCATCTTCATCACTAAAAAATGTTAACGTCATACAGACAAAGTGATAATTTTACTGACGATTTAGTTGTTGAGAATTTAACTATTGTGATAATTTCGTTGATAAATTTGAGATGTTTCAATTGTGCAAAAGGAACCAAAAGAAGAAATCAATGCAAAACAAGCGAAAAATTTATTTTTATATCAGAGGTATCAATTCCGTACACAATAACCGCATGTTCAACTGGGTATTTATTTATTGGCTCACGGGTCGGTGACTCACAACTGATTGAATACGTTACCGAGCTCGTACCGGTGGATGATCCTTCTGAGGCTAAGAAACCGAAACTTGAACCGACAGTGACATCACAGAATCCGTTGGAAGATGAGGATCTCGAGCTGTACGGGAAAGCACTTCCATCGGTTTGTATTCATTTCAGTGCCTTTGATCTGTCGAATTTTTTTTTGATGTATATTTGAATTAAATAAATGGATATTTGAAACATGACACTGAATGATCGTTTTTCAACAGCGCCTGTTTTCGCAACGGAAACTGCCTACAAGTGATGTGGTGTAAGACTTTTTGACTTGATGCATTCGATGATGGATTTGTATGGTGTTCAGGGTGCCGCTCAAGAGGCCACTGTTGAGAAGATGCGTTTTCGGGTACTTGATCGTTTGCTAAATGTAGCACCATGTAAGAGGATGACGGTTGGTTGTTGTGAAGGATTGAATTCGTACTTGCAAGGTCACCAGCGTCTTGATCCAGTCTTTGATTTGGTTGGTTTTCATTTCATAATTTTTTGTTCGTTTGGTTGTTCTGAAAGGATGAATAAAAGCATGATGTGCAATGAGTCCGATCTGAGAGTTAAGTGATCGTTAACCTCAACTTTGAATATTCTGAAATGGTAGGGTATACTTTTATAAATTGAACCAACGATAACTGAGAATGCTGAGTTTTGCGAAGAATATTACATCGAAGAATGTTTTTGGTGGAAAAATAAAAAGCTTTGCGCAGTTGTCGTCATGTCACTCGCCGATTTTAGGTATGCGCATGTGGTCACGGTAAAGACGCAAGTATTTGCATATTCCAACGAAGTATTCGACCGGATATTATTACGAGTAGTAGGTTCGCTTGCGTTTCAGTTGTCTGTTAATGAAATTTTTCGTTAATAGCAAATCTGTCGTAATTCTCTAAGAAGTCTATGGATTTGGTGATTTGTTGTGTTCATATTTAATTTCAGCATTGAAGGTGTTATTCAGTATTGGGCAGTGGGCCGACGGGAAGATGACACTCACATGTATATTATAGCTTCAAAGGAGGTGAGTAGTGTTCGCTTCGCTTCGAATTCTAATGAAACGTTTGTACATTGACAACCTATAAGTGGATGGATGGATGGATATAGTTACTCGAAAATTTTCAGTTTTTTAACTGACAGCGAATGTTTATGTTTTTGATTGTCGAAAATTTCAGTTGGGTTCCTTGGCATTGGAAACGGATAATGATTTGATTGAGTTAGAAGCACCGATTTTCATTACTTCTGAATCAACAATTGCAGCAGGTGAACTGGCTGATGGTGGACTGAGTGTTCAGGTAAATTTGTGTTATACATGAATGAATTTGAGCTCATTCGATTGTTTGATTAAAGTTATTGTAGTACTGCTTTTAAGCAGTTATTTTGATGATAATGATCCTATAAAACTTACATTATAAACAAAAATGTTCCTCTGAATATTTTTTTAAACTAACACTGGCTAAATTAAGGTAACAACATCAAGCATCGCAGTTGTAGCCGAAGGACAACAAATTCAACTGATACCTCTCCAGCTGACATTTCCAGTTTTAAGTGCATCAATTGTTGATCCTTTCGTAGCAATTTGCACGCAAAACGGAAGATTGTTATTGTATGAACTCGAGAATACACCTCATGTTCACTTGAAAGTGAGTGTTTGGAACTGTTAAAGCCGTTCTTTGATAGATTTTAGGTGTCGTATCATCATGCATCAATTGTCGTAAACTATTGAAACTAAATGTATTCTGTTCGTCCTTTGAAACTATTAAAGCGGTAACTTCTTTTCAAGATTTTTAGTTTACTTTTGAAATAATGAAATGTTTTTATGCCTGAATGACGGGTGGATGGTTCATTGAACTATTCAGGAAGTGGAGATAAACAGTAAGCTGATACATAACGATTCGCCGATCACTGCAACGTGTGTGTATCGTGATATGAGTGGAATAATTCAATTTTGTTCCACATCCTCAGCGATCAAGCAAAGCACTTCGTCGGCGTACAATAAAAGCGAGATGGATTTGGATGATTTTGATGATCTTCTGTTGTATGGAGATTCCAAGAAAAAACGTATGTTTTCATGTCATGACCTTTTTATGATCATTGACTGTAATTTTTTGTTTGAGGAAGAAAATGATAATATGAAATCAGATAGAAATGTTGTTTAATATTGCGAGTTTCATCATATTTCTGTGATATTTTGCTAGTGCTTTATCTCTGGTGTTCAGAACGGGAGACGCGCAAGAAACGTAAAATCGTCGGCACACGACAGAATCTTGGCGATACGCCGCAATTAGAAACCGACGTGGTAGATCCCAATACTGTGGTACCATCGCATTGGATTATTGTAAGTTTGCCTTCGACATCATTCGAAAATTTGAACGGCTTTTTTCCATTGTTTGGTTTCGTTGTTTGTAAAAATGTCCCAAGTGTGACCATATTTTCATAGTGAATATATTATACAAGTTTTAATCTCGAGGTGCAAAATTTATTATGTTTTATGTTGAACGATAAGCTGAAGTGTATTGCAGTTGGCACGTGAGAATGGTAATCTGTATGTGTACTCAATACCAGAAATGCAACTGGTTTATATGATCAAAAAATTCAATCATTTACCTGATATTGCGACTGATGAAATGAACTACGCTGAAGAGGAGAAACAGCATTCGACCGTAATTGCACCCTCAGTAGAAACATCGCATGCGTTGGTGAACGAGGCACTTGTGGTGAAACCTGAAGAGTTGATTGTTGAAGTGGTGAGTTCTCATCTCGAAAACATTCATTTTGATAATTCTGTTCTGATTTGTTCTGATTCCAAGCGGTTCATGCACTGTCTCAAGCTTCAAAAATTTTAATCGTTCGAATTGATTGTGTGTTAGAATTGAAGTGGATTGTGATAAATGAAGACAGTTTCATCTGATTTCAGTTACTCACCGGTATGGGTATGAATCAGTGTCGGCCAGTTTTGTTCGTTGTTGTCGATGATGTTGTATCGGTTTACGAGATGTTCGCATTCGATAATGGCATCGTTGAGCATCTTGCGATTAGGTAAATAGCGTTGAGCATATTGCTTGGATTGTTTGAATGTCACATGTGAACAGTAATGTGCATTTGATTTTGTAGATTTAAGCGATTACATCATAACGCAGTGATAAGATCGAATCGTTTCCAAACCAGTGAGGGTCGTGCTCCGGTTGAGGCTGCTCGCGATACGGCACGTTATCGAACAGCGTTACATCCGTTCGAAAGAATTGGAAATATCGTGAGCGTTTCCTTGCTGATGTTGTTCTTAATTCCATTATTGTCACATAGTTTTTTTTGCTCGTTCCATTGAAGATGTTAATCGTGAACCATTTTATCCATTGCTTACAAACTGTTTATGTCTATGAATTTTTAGTAGTATTTATTGTGAGATTTTCGGTAGGTGTCGTCCCTTAAGTAGAGAATCAATTGGAAAATTAATTCAGTGTAATGATATTTCAGTTGAATGGTGTTTTCATATGTTCATCATATCCATATCTTTTCCTGATGGATAGTGGAATTTTGCATATGCATCCACTTAATTTAGAGGGTTCGATCACCTCGTTTACGGCATTCAACAACGCGGTATGTCCGAATGGTTTCGTCTACTTAACCGAACGAGAATGGAGTATGCGAATCGCGACTCTACCGGTTAGTCACTTTCTTTTCATTGCTTATTTGTGAGATGATTCAGGCTTTTTGATATGAATATTTCAGATCATTTTTATTTTGCTTGAATATATTGTTTAAAAAACGGTTGGGAATTGTATGAAAATGTAAGAGAAGTAAATTTTGTGTGAAAAAAATCGTTAAGAGGTTGATAGTTGGTATATTGAAGTGGAGAAATTTTTGAAAAATATCAATTTTGAGAAATTTGCTTCTTTGTTAGCTGACTTGATTGCATCGATGAAAATGTTTTTCTTCGTATGGCAAAGAAATGTTCGTCAAAAAATGGAACATTGTAACTGAAATGGCTTGAGCTGAACAGTGCTGTATTGCAGTCAAACATGGAATTGGATCACAGTTTTCCGGTTCGTAAGATTCCAACTGGTCGAACCATCCATAACGTTGTTTATTTGCTGCAATCGAATACGTTTGCTGTTGTGAGTAGTCAAAAGAAACCGAATAATAAATTATGCGTTTTGGTGAATGAAGATAAATCGTTTGAAACGCACGAAAAGCCAGACTCTTTCGTACTCCCAGAAATAGACGCATACGATCTCAAGGTGATTTATCGCTTTCACATTTTTGCTTCTTCTACTGTTATGTTCGGTAGTTTTTTGTCAGCCTTGCTGATTGTTTGAACTTAAAATGGTAGAGACGTTGAACATTAATTGTTTTAGCTATACTCACCGGAAGACTGGAAACCAGTGCCGAACACCGAAATTAAGATGGACGATTTCGAGGTGCTAACCTCATGTGAGGAGGTACTGTTAAAGTCGGAAAGTACCGTAGCGGGTGTACAAAACTATTTGGCCGTTGGAACGGCATGTAATTATGGTGAAGAAGTGTTGGTGCGAGGACGTATAATCATCTCAGAAATTATTGAGGTATTCTTTTCGAATAATTCAATCGGTCGGTTTTGTTGTTGTTATATGACGAGTATAATCTTTCATTTNCTTGAGATTGTTTTTGTAGAAGAGTTCATTGATGACGAATTGTTTGCGAAAAACCAAAATTTTGATTGCATGCGCACAGGACAGCTGAATATTTTCAGGTGGTTCCAGAACCTGGTCAGCCAACAAGTAAGCATCGAATAAAAACGCTCTACGATAAAGAGCAAAAGGGTCCGGTTACAAGTCTATGCTCATGTAATGGTTATTTATTGTGTGGAATGGGTCAAAAGGTATTTGTATTGACTTGTGTATTTCTTTCATTCATTATTCTTGATCTGCTTTCTGATCAGTGTAGTTGAGTTGTTGAAGATCGAGCAGCTGAATTTGATATTGTGTGAAGTGTAGCGTAGTTGCAAATTAGTAAGCCTATAAATGCAGACAGGTATGATATATCTATCGCTTAATGAGCAGTTGTTGAATAGTTTATTAGAATATTCAAGGGAGGCATTTTGAAGGATTGTATTTTGCAGGTATTCATATGGCTATTTCGTGATAACAACCTTCAAGGTATTTCATTTTTGGATATGCACTTCTACGTTCATCAATTGGTTGGTGTTCGGAATTTAGCACTTGCGTGTGACATCTACAAATCTGTTGCACTTCTACGTTACCAGGTGTGTTCGGTTGTTTTGTTCATTTGCTTTCAGATTTCAGGTTGTTTTCAGGTGTCAGACTTATACTGTATTCGGGCACATGCTGATCCTGATAATGTCGATAATTCAAGGAGCGCACTAAAGCAATAATCAGAATAAGATTTCTAGGAAGAATATAAAGCGTTATCGTTAGCAAGTCGTGATATGCGAGCTGTCGTACAACCACCAATGACCGCGCAGTTTTTGATTGACAATAAACAGATGGCATTCATAATGTCCGATGAAGCGGGTAATATCGCTGTCTTTAATTATTTACCCGAAACGTTGGAGTCGTTCGGTGGTGAACGTTTGATATTGCGTTCTGAAATCAATATAGGAACGAATGTGAACAGTTTCGTGCGAGTTAAAGGTATCTATCTGCTTGACTTCATATTGTTATTCCATTCATTGTTTCTTGCCTTTTGGACTGTTCTGAAGTATTTGCTTATGTAGTGATCGTAGAGATAGATGCTTGTCAGAAATGAGTTTGTGAAAATGGTAAGAATAATATTGTTGGTTGAATTTATTGTTTTGTCGAAGAAGAAGTTTCTGATCTGGATATTCGCATGAATTGACGGAGTTGAACTGAGTATACGAACGTACATCTGTGTGTTTTTCAAGTTATAATAACGGCTCTAATTGTAGGACATATTTCGAATGGATTTGTTGAAAACGAGCATTATTCGTTGAATCGTCAGAGCGTTCTGTTTTGCTCGTTGGATGGAAGTTTTGGTTTTGTGAGACCATTGAGTGAGAAGGTAGATTATTTGTTCGGATTTAGATTTTTTCTGAGTAATGCTTTTATTCTTTGTATGTGTGCAAAGATTTCCAGAAAGCAACGGATTCTCATTGTAGGTGTTTCGACGACTACATATGCTGCAACAGTTAATGTCCTCATTGGTTGCTCAACCAGCCGGTTTGAATATCAAAGGTTCAAGGGCGGCTAGGCCCCAAAGGCCAAACCATTATTTGGTAAGCGTGGAATGTTTGGAAATCGTCATAATTTAAATGTGTCATAATAAAATAATTCTCATAAATCATAGTGCAGGAATAATTAACGAGGCAAGAAGATTGGTGTGCGTTAGATCAAGAGAAATAATGAAATGTTTCAGTGAGAATCTTAGTGATCGTGTAATTTAATTTTCAGAACATACGTAATATGGTCGACGGTGACGTCGTATTTCAATATTTGTATTTGTCATTGGCTGACAAAAATGATTTAGCTCGTAAATTAGGTACAAGTCGATATCATATCATTGATGATCTCATTGAAATAAATCGAGTGACATCTCATTATTGACGAGAATATTTGTGTGTATTCGATTGTTTGCTACATATTCTTTGTATCGTGTGTATTCATTTCTTCATTTATTTGATATTGAATTTTGACCGAGTTTTGTTAATTACTGATGTTCGACTGAGTTTGTTTCATTGAAAGTTCAGTTAGAATAAGGTGCTTATTATGTGAGATTTGGTGATCTAAAAAATGAAACATGCAATTGGCGTAGAGAAATGTTCATGCTGACATCATAGTTGCGAATGTTGGAGAAAATGAGAATGATCGTATTAGGATGCGATATTTTTAGTACATATTGTTAGTGTTAAAATACGCATCAATTATTNTGTTGTAATTTTTGTCGAAATGAAATGAGTATCACGTAACTGCTGAACATATGAGGGCGTAATTACTGAGAATCTGAACCCATTTTATCGTATATCTGAATTAGTTTTATTTTTTATAAAATAGAGAAATATTTTAGTTGAATTGTAAGAAATTTCTTTCATCCGCAATGTCTCTGTCATGGTGAATTCGTTTGTCTTTTCTATTGGAATTTATAATTTGATGTATTCATATCGATTGTCGTGTCGTTTTTAGTGTTAAATTATTACTGTTGTTTTTGTTACGAAACTAACTGTTATTGTTGTGAAGAATATCGTTATTTGATTGTTATTTTCTATGTTCTTCATTGACTGTTTTTGCATATTGTATAGAATTATGGATATAAAGTTGTTGTGAAAATTCAGTTTCACACAAGTGCTCCATTGAGTTGGCATATATCCGTGTAAAGTTTGGGCATTTCATAGTCTGTTCGGTCTTACACACAAATCACTAGTGTATGAAATTAAAGGCACATTTTTAAAAGGCAGTCTTCGTTACGTTCATTCAATTGTTCACAATTTGTTTTATTTTGATACCAATACAATGCCAGCAGTAGCAATAATAANATATATTCGATCAATCTGCTGTGTATGCGAATGTGGTGGTAACACACGCACGGATTCAAATGAACAGATTCAAACGTTAAACAACGGTCTTCAGTAGTTTCTCAAAAGTGGGAGAGGGGTATGGGGAGAGAAGGAACCATGAGGAGAAACTAATTCAGAAGTTTATGAGATCCGCAATTGCCAACTGGAAAGTAGGATTTAAATCAGTTCAGATAGATCGACATTACTTCACAACCGATGCAAACAGCTCACTTCGGATAATGCAGACAATTGAGATAAGATGTAGAGCCAGTGCTTGGCTAGAGATCACTTGGATAGGATCAATCATTAACATTCCCTGCAAGCATCAACAATTCCACATGTGTTTCAGCCACTTGGTACCATCGTATTGTGGTTGTATGATGCTCAACGCGTTTCTCAACGCAATACGATCACAAGCAAACTTTCGTTCTTTCTGAAATGTTGCTAAACTATCGATACCCTGAACGGCTTTCGATAATAAGTACATATATCGGTCATTCATCGGCACATTCCTCACTACATATCCGTTGTTGATCACTGAAGCATCTTCTGCCGGATAGTCATTTTTTCTGCTCTGCGCACTCGCTATAATAGGAACATCTTTCAACGACTGTGCGAAGTATCTGAAAACGGCAAATGTATGAAATCATTACCTATGAGTTTTGACGCAATCTGTTAACAGTATGAAAACCTAGAGATGTTTTTTGGAAATAGTGATGCAATCGGATTATTTCAAAAAAGATGAGTTCCGTTTTGCGATCAGTTCAAAAAAATTACGATCAGATCAAAACAAAATTGCGATCAGATCAATAAAAATTACGAGAAATTGCTTTCCCATTACATAACACAGCCACTATATTTTTCAACCCATACAATAAATTCAAACAACTCATGCATAAAGTTAAAAACCAAAGCATTACACTATTTTTTCATTGGACTTTAAAACATCAACAATGGTGTGTTGAAATGTTTAGTAATTAAATGAGTATCTTCTCGCAAGTCACTGTCACTTTACACTACGAATTATGTGAAATTGAGTTTCTGCAAACTTTTCCCCATACTCAATGAGATGACGAACAGAAATTTATTTGAGGAATGATATGAGATTTTTTTCGGAAACTTACCTCATTTGAGCGTTTGATGTAGTTGTTAGAAGCACAACAATGCTAAAAACGGCGTAAGAAACACTAAGTTTAAGCATTGAATATGAGTTTGGATGACGAAGGTAATGAAGATGACGGTGCAGTGATTTGCTTGACGATGAGTACTGAACGAACTATCAAGGACAAATTGGCTCGTTCACGGTATTGTGTGTTCTCAAATTGATTATTAATATTAATTCATTCTCATAAAATATTTCAAATACAAATCAAATTCATTAACTCATAAAATAAAATATTTCAAATTAAGTTTAATCATGAACATAAACGTTAACAATGCTAAAGTTAATGTCGGATAATCTGGCCGGCTTTCGCAGAAAATTATCTCTTCGAATGGTACTGCAAAGATTTGCTTCATTCATTTGTTGTACTCATAGGCGGGGCAATCGTTCACAGGATTACTGTTTTTAGCACATTTCAAGACTGTTCTCAAAGCCAAACCACTGTTTTTAAACTTGTTCTTTAAACATTCGATAATATGAAATGAATTATTCAATGCGAATAAATGTCGTGTCATGGTGATGAGGAAATGCGTCAATATTATGCACAGAATAAACTTTCTTGTCCNNNAGTTTTAAATTCTCAGGGAGGGCTGTGAAAATTTCGTCGATTAACATAAATGTGAGAGAAGTGCGAAGTCGTTAATGAAAGCATTTTTGGGTGGATTTTTCGCAATGTCAACGAATATTCAGTCTTCCAATGCTAGCCCGTTTACTGATTCACTGATCATAATTAGTGCGCGATGATGATCAAATGGTATAAATCAAATTACATATCAAAAAAATGTTTAACTTAAAAATCGTTTCGCACTCTGAACGGCTCGAAACAACAATAGGTGATACCAACTTTAAACGTGGACTCAGCCATGCTTTTCAGATGCATCCATGAGTTTAGACCGATGAGAACAGAGAATCGAGTGGAAACGAAACATGAAATACGAATGCGAAAACATTTGTAATGTTTTGGAATGATTCAAAATATTGTTATGGTTATTAAAGCATTGTTATGAAATAAATAATTGCTTTGGCACGCAAGACGCTATTGTGGACAGAGTTATGCTGATTATAGTGGAAAAATTGTATTTGGAGTGTTACTCAGTAATTGAACTTTTCAATGCGACTATTCAACGATACAGTAATTCATTGAACAAATAAATCGCTCATAAGCATGCTGCACGCTCTCAATTACTAATCAAACATAAATTTTTAGCTGATGAAAGCGATTCTCTTATTTATTACTACTCAACGGTCGATTAACTCCTGCTATTAATTACTACTTGTGAGTTCATTATCAGCAATAAACCTATTACAAGAACTTTTCTGCTCATATTCCGATCAAAAACCGGCTTATGCGATGATTCATCGAAGCTGCAACTAGGGAAATAAATTTTCTCTTGCTTCAATGGCGTTTGCAGTAACCGTCTGAGTTCGAAGGTGATCGTGAAACGTACTGAATTATGAGTGCTGGAAATATTTAATTAAAGTGAATTGTCAACGAGGAAATTCATTGAAATTCCTCAATTTCCGATCCAAACTAAAACTCATTAAGAGATTGCATGCGTTTTTGGACTGAGAAACGTGATTAAAATGAATGCCAATAGGATGCGATATTTGACAGGTGCAATTTATCAACGGGACGAACAGTGAAATGTTATCCGAACGCTGCACACAGTGAATGGTTAAGCTGGTTACGACGCATTTCCGAATGGGTTTTCGCTTAATGCTGATGCTTATAACGTTCATACAAAGCGCTTTTGTGGCGAATTTGAGCGTGAAAATGGCACAACAACAGAAACGAAGTTGAACAGAAATGTAGCTGAAGTGAAAATCTGCGAAATGAATTCGAATCGAAGCAATAGTTTGAAATTGAATTAGCTTCATTTGATGATTCTTTACTTTCCATCTTAACAGTCACCGAATTATTCCGTGCAAATCAATTCATGGCACCATTAACGATTGCTTTGTTTGTCGCACATAAACTTCATTCAAACACCGTGTTGAGCATTGATGTAGAGTTGAGCAGAAACTAATGCTGACCTATGTAGATTCCCTCTTTGCTTTCGATCGATGGCCATCGATTTCAGACACTGATGACACGAGTCTACGGAAGAGACAAACTTAGGGATTCCTGATAGAACGTTTGATTCAGCTCAGTTTCGTTATGCAGGAGTCTTACTGGTCATACTCTGAACAGTGCCACACGAATAACTCTCAAAATGATCACGGTCAGGCGAGGTAGAATTTCGTACGCGAAGGGTGATATGCTCAAGGAATGTTGTCCCATTCCTCGGTGCTTTTGGCCGTGAGAGCCGAAGCTGGATCCTATTGAAATGTTGCGGTCATCCTGTGGCCAGCTATTTATTCAATCCAAAGTTTCATTTTGGTGACCACAATTCATTGGCAGATAACATAATCCACTTCTCGTCAGTTCCTCGGGTGGAAGATGAGACGAGAAACGATCAGAATGATCTGATGTGATCAACAGAGACGATGCACTTTCCGCCCTTGCTCAGCAATCACTGTAAAGAAGAAGGAATATAGTTCATAATCTTGCTCGGGAACTCGCATATATCAGAAATAACCTTATTCGAAAACTGGTTCTCCATGACCCATATTGCGCATTTTAGTCTCACAGCGACGGTCATTTCAAACACTGAATTTTA